GGCGTCGGGCGCGTCGCTGCCCGCCGTCGCGGGCGCGGCGCCCGGCGGCGACTCGCGGGAAAACTCGCGGCCGAACTCGCGGGGCGGCCCGGGCCGGCGCGACGCCGACGGCACCTACCGCGACATGATCCGCAAGCTCTCCAAGATGCTCGACATGGAGCGCAAGCACATCGCCCAGGTCCAGTCCGCGCACGCGAAGTGGCGCGAGAACCGGACGCCGCTCGAGGTGTCGCTCCGCGACGCCGTCGCCGTCGAGGCCCACGGCGTCCAGCTCCGCGTCGCGCCGGGCGCGCGGGGGGCGCCGCGGCCCGCGGGCGCCGCGCACGCGCTCGCGGGCACGGACCGGGACCCGGCGCTCGACAGCGCGATCTTGGACCAGTTCGACCACGCGGACCGGGAGCGCGCCATCGAGCGCTGGCTCGCCATGGACGGCGTCCTCGACGCCCTCTACGCCGACGAGGAGGGCGCCGCGCTCATGAAGGCGGGCGCGCCCGCCGCGCCCGCGCAGCCGGGCAAGGCCGCGGCGCCGGGCGACGGCCGGCCGCCGACGACGGGCTCCTCGCGCCCGTCGTCATCCCCCGCCGGCGGGCTCTAGGGGATTTGGGTGTTAGACCTTCTTGCTCTTCTTCTTGACGAAGCCCATCTGCTTCATGCCCGCGGTGATGGCCTTGTCCCCCGCGGTCGACACGGTCGACTTCGCGCCGTCGACGGCGCCCGTGACCTACGTGCGATCGCGTCGGCATGTGCGTTTGTGTGTTCTGTGCTTCGCTCACCGTCTTCTGCGCGTCCTTCTTCGTGTCCTTGTACGCCTTCGTCGCGGCCTTCTTCTGCTGGTTCGCGGCGACCTGGGCCCGGCCCTTGACGCTCGCGAGGCCCTTGGCGCCGACGGACGTGTCCACCTGCGTCGGGTCCAGCGAGGCGTCGATGTAGCCGCCCGTGCGCGTGTTCTTGCTGCCGAACTTGCCCGGCTCCTGGGGCGCCGCCTCTTCTGGCTTGAAGTAGGAGATGCCCGTCGTGTTGGCGACCTGGGCGCCCGACGGGCACAGATTCGTGACGGACTTGGGCACGTAGGATGCCATGGCGGCGGAGCGGAGCGTCTCCTGGGACCAGACCGCAGAGCTGCCCGGGCGGTTAATTTTGTTGGACTAGTTATTGAAGGCGCTTTGTTGAACCATCATTGAGGCCATGTTTCGCCTGCCTTGGGATCAATCCGCCGCTCAGTCCGTCGCCTCGCCCGGCGCCGTTGGCCACGCGAACACAAAGCCAGCCGCGCGAACCCAGAAAAAGAGATTCGCCATGGATGAGCCCTGGGATCTCGACCCCGACGACGAAGAGGAGATGATGGCCGAGATGGCGGCGCAGCAGGAGGCGGCCGCCGAGGAGTTCGAGGCCGCCGAGGCCGCGGCGGCGACGAAGAAGCGGCCCCTGCAGGCCGCGGCGCCGCGCGGCGCCCCGCCGCCGCGCGGCCCGCCCAAGCCCGCGCCGAAGCCCGCGGGCCCGTCGCCGTCCTACGCGGGCCCGCCGCTGCCCAAGGCGCCGAACGTCTACGAGAGCACGAGCACGTGCTTCAAGTGCGGCCTCGTCGGCCACTGGGCGCGCGACTGCAAGGAGAACGCGGCGCCCGCGGCGCCCGCGGCGAAGAAGCCGCGGCCGGCGCCGCCGGTGGCGCACGACCTGCGCGACGAGGACTACGACGCGGAGCCGGCCGCGGCGCCGGGCGAGCCGCCGGCGCTGGACTGCGCCTGCGGCGCGGGGCAATGCGCCGTGCGCACGTCCCAAAGCGCGCGGAACCCGAACCGCAAGTTCTACAAGTGCGCCGGCTGCAACTTCTTCAAGTGGTGCGACGAGGCGGGCGGCGGAAACGCGCCGGCCGCGCCGCGCGCGCCGGCCGCGTCCGGCGGCGGCGGCGGCGAGTGCTACAAATGCGGCCAGACGGGCCACTGGTCCCGCGACTGCCCCAACGGCGCGACCGCGGCGCCCGCGCCCGCGCGCGGCGGCGGCGGCGGCGGCGGCGGCGGCGAGTGCTACAAGTGCGGCCAGACGGGCCACTGGGCGCGCGACTGCCCCGACGGCTACGCCAAGTCCGGCGGCGGGGCTCCGGCGGCTACGGCGGCGACTCCGGCTCCGGCGGCGCGGCCAAGACGGGGGGCAACGCGTGCTTCAAGTGCGGCCAGACGGGCCACTGGTCGCGCGACTGCCCCAACAACGGCGGCGGCGGCGGCGGCGGCTACCGCTCGCGCTACTGACGAGGGACTCGCGCGCAAAATAAGGGCCGCGCTCCTAGAGCTCCTTCTTCGCGATGATCGTCGCGGCCTCGGGCGCGGCCTTCTTGAGCGCCTGCCAGAGCTCCTTGCCGGACTTGGCGTTGCCCTTGTCGACCATGGTGTAGGCGTAGGGCTTGGCCGCGTCGGCGACCCAGAGCACCGCGGGGATGCCGCCGGCGAGGAGGTCGTCGAACTTCATCGCGAGCGCTGAACCCAAATTGTCGTCCATGTTGATGCGGCCGAGGCCGAAGCCCGCGTGGCCCTCGAGCTTCGTCTCGAGCGCGTGCCAGACCTTCTCGTAGGCCTTGCAGGACTCGCACATGCCGCTGTAGACCTCGACGAGCCAGGGCGTGCCCGTCGACGACGCGACGGTCTCGTAGGTGTCCTTCTTCAGGTCCACGACCGGCAGCGCCGTCGTCGAGAGCACGAGCGACGCGGCGACGAGGAGGCGCATCATTGCGGTCCGTGTGGCGCTGCCACCGCGCGTTGCCACAGCCGGTGGTGCCGCCGCTCTCTCTGGCAGACTCTGCGGCAGCCAGAGCGCCCGCCGCCGTCGCCGACCGCTTGATGCACCTGTCGCACCTCCTCGTCCTCGCCGCATCGTCGCAGGCCCTCTCGCTCCGCGCCAGAAAACCTGCGACGATGAGCGCGGCGCCCTACACGCTCTACGACATGCCCGTGAGCAACAACGGCGCGCGCGTGCGCATGATCCTCTACTACAAGGACGTGCCGGCGTCGGACGTGGCCATCGTGAGCCCCATGGAGCTCGGCGGCCTGCGCAGCGACGAGTTCCTCGCCGTGAACCCGCAGGGCAAGATGCCCGCGCTCGTCTGCCGCGACGAGGGCCTGTGCGTGCCCGAGTCGGACACGATCGCGCGGTTCCTCGGCGGCCGGTTCCCCGGCGGCGGCCACTTCGCGCCCGCCGCCGGGTCCGTGGAGGCGTTGTTAGCGGACCGCCTCGCGCGGCACCACGACACGTACCTCGCGCCCATCCAGGGCTGCCTCTACAAGGCGACGCCCGCGGGCCAGCCCTACGGCGCGTTCCCGTCGCGCGCGGCGGCGCAGGACGAGTTCTGCCGGCAGCTGCTGCTCGTCGAGGACTACGTGGGCGAGGCCGGGCCCTACCTCCTCGGCGGCGAGCCGTCGCACGGCGACTGCGCGCTCTATCCGACGCTGCTCTTCGCGGAGAAGATGTTGCCGCTCTTCGGCCGCGCCTTCGCGCTCGGCCCGAAAACCCAAAAATGGTTCGACTTCATGTCGACGGAGGACGCCGTCGGCGCCAGGGTGCGGGGCGAGGTGCGCGGCGCCCTCGACGGCTGGGACGCCAAGGGCCGGTGGGCCTCCATCTTCGGCGCGGGACTCCGCGACGACGCGGACGCCACGATCTTCGACAAGATTTTAGCCGGCGACATCCCCTCGGACAAGGTCTACGAGGACGACCTCTGCTACGCCTTCCGCGACATCAACCCCGTCGCGCCGACGCACGTGCTGCTCATCCCCAAGGTCCGCTCGGGCCTCACGCAGCTCCGCCACGCGTCCCCGGACCAGGCCGCGCTGCTGGGCCACCTCATGTCCAAGGTCGGCGCCGTCGCCGCAGCCGCGGGGCTCGGCGACGCGGGCTACCGCCTGGTCGTCAACGACGGCGCGGACGCGTGCCAGACCGTCTTCCACCTCCACCTCCACATCATCGGCGGCCGCGAGCTCGCCTGGCCGCCGGGCTAGGGAAGCACATAACAGACCCCGCCGGCGGGATATGTTATTTTTGAAGACTGAGCCGGTTGCGGGCGCGCGGGGCCTCGCCGCAGGCCTCGCCGCGCACCCCCGGCGGCAAAATTCGAGGTAAAACCAGTCGAGTCCGAGCACCCAGCCTTCAAACCTGCGCCGCTCTCCACGGCCGCGGCAGGCGCACCCGCCGCCTCCACGACCCGCTCGCCACCGCTCCGCGCCGCGCCGAGAGCCGCAGTCGTCAAACAGTAAAAAAAAAACGCCGCCATGCCCTTTGGCAAGAGCACGCTCGCCGCGCCCGCGGCGCTCACGGCCGAGGCCGTCGCGGCCGCGCGCTTCGCGAACCTGGAGCACGTGTCCTACCCGTCGCTGGCGCGGGCCTGCCCCGGCGAGGCCGGGACGGCCGTCGCCGCCGCCGTGAACTCGCTGAAGCGCGGCCGCGGCGACGACGACGTGGCCGAGACCGTCGTCGTCTGCGGATCGAAGCGGCGGAAGAGCGCGCGCTTCGCCGGCGTGCCCGGGCGCGTCGTCGCCGTCTGCGCGTCGGGCGACGCGGCGGGCGCCGCCGGGGAGCTGGACGCCGTCTCCTTCCGGTCGACGTACGCCGTCGCGCCCGCGAAGGCCGCCGCGCTCGGCGCTTTGTGGGACTGGGACCGCGCCGAGGGCGCGCGGCTCATGGCCGACGACGGCGCCGCGGGCGACGCCTTCCGGAGCTCGGCGCACGCGGCCGTGCGCCTCGAGGGCCTGACCGTGGGCCCCGCGAAGGACTGGGCCGACCCGACGGGCGAGAAAGCCGCGCGCGCCCAGGCGGCCAAGGTCGCCAAGGACGAGCAGGCCAAGGCCCACGGCGGCGCGCTGCCGAGCGGCCTCTTCGGCGGCGGGTCCAAGTCCGGCGCGCCGAAGAAGAAGGCGTCGTCCAAGGCGTCGAAGAAGAAGGGCCCCGCGCCGAACATGGGCACGTTCTTCTCCGGCGGCGGCGCCAAGGCCAAGTCCCCCGACAAGGCGCCGGAGCCGAAGAAGAAGCGCCGCGTCATCGAGATGGACGACGAGGACGACGACGACGACGAGGTCGCGGGGCCGCCGGACGAGCCGGAGCCCGCGCCGGAGTCCGCGGAGCCCGCGCCCGTCGCCGAGCCCGAGGCCGCCGCGGAGCCCGAGGTCGAGGAGAAGAAGCCGGGCAAGAAGCTCGTGGAGAAGACCTTCGTCGACGAGCACGGCTACTTCGTCACGACGAACGTCTGGGAGGACGTCGACGACGAACCGGACGCGCCGAAGTCGTCGCTGACGATGACGTCGGGGCCCAAGCCCAAGAAGGCCGCGCCCGCCGCGCCCAAGCCCCCGGGCCTGCCCAAGCCCAAGGCCAAGGCCGCGAAGCCGCTCAAGAAGGGCCAGACGTCCCTCATGGGCTTCTTCGGCAAGAAGAAGTAGGGCCGCGCGTCGTAAGGCCCCTAGAAGCGAGACTCGGGTCAGGCCGCGTCGCGGCGTCGCGCGCGGGCGTCGCGCCGGCGCGCGCGCCCGCTTCGAGTTAAATTCGAGTCAAATTCAAGCGCGCCGCGCCGCAGCCATGTACTTACTACGAAGTATTCAATAGCGCCTGCGCACGGCGAACACTCTAGGCGAACACCGAGCGCCCGCACACCCCGCGCGCCGCCGCGCCCCCCCGCCGGCTAGCCTGCGCACCTTAGAACTCGGCGGCTCCGTGCAGCATCGGGGGGTCGTTTTTTTCGAAGAGGAGGAACACGCGGCTCGCGCCGCGGCCGGCCGGGGCCGGGCCGCGGCGTCCGCCGCGGGGCGGCCGGTCATCTAGGAGAAGATGGAGAAGTCGCCGGAGAAGGGGATCATCACGTTGCCGTCGTAGGCGGGGATGAGGCCCTGGAGCGCGGGGACGGAGCCCGGCGCGCCGGCCTCGGAGAGGATGGAGAAGATGCCGAGCATCGCGAGGCGGCCGTTGTTGATCTCGGCGAGGCGGCCGCGGGCCTTCTTCTCCGGGGAGTCCTGCTCGAAGAACCCGAAGGGGTCGAAGAGGTTGAAGACGAGCTCGGGGCGCTTGCCCTTGATCGGGGGGTAGTAGCCGGGGAGGCCGCCGTTCGTGTAGTGGGGGTCGAGGATCTCGCCGTAGGACTCGAGCATGCCGACGAGGACGATGATCTGGAGCTTGCCGTAGAGGGGGATGGCGTCCCACTGCTCCGGGGGCGTGAGGCCGGGCTCGTAGCCGCGGTACGGGAGGATCTTGTGCGGGCCGGACACGAGCTCCGTCGAGCCCGCGAGGTAGCCGAGGAAGGCGGCCATGGCGACGCGGCCGTGCTTGATCTCGGCGTGGCGGAGGTAGCCGATGGTGCCCTCGTTGCCGAGGCCCCAGAAGTTCGTGTCCAAAGCGCCGAGCGGGTCCCTGCGCGAATCGGGGCCGG